CCCTAAACCCTAACCCCCCCCCCCCACACTCAACCCTAAACCCTAAAGCCCCAAAAGCCTAAAACCCTACAACCCTAAACCCTAAAGCCCCAAAACCCTAAAACCCCAAAACCCTAAAGCCCTAAACTGAGAAGCTTTGAGCCCAGGATCTGCCGGTGAACGAGCCGATGGAGCTCCCAGAGCTGCAGAGCTTCCTGTCGAGGCTGATAGCACCTGGGCTTAGGGTTTTAGGGTTTTAGGGTTTTAGGGTTTTAGGGCTTTAGGGCTTTAGGGCTTTAGAGTTTTAGGGCTTTAGGGGTTGAGGGGTTTAGGGGTTTAGGGGTGTAGGGGTGTAGGGGTTTCGGGTTTAGGATATTCGGGGGTGGTAGGTTTCAGGAGCCTAGGGGGGTTTAGGGTTTTTTTTTAACTGTTTGGGGCTTTAGGGTTTCTATACTGTCCTGTGTTTATTTGTTGATTTTTTCCCCTCGAGGCAGCATTTCGAAATCTAAGTTGCTGGTTCCTTTTTTCCCCGGTGGCTTCCAAGCCCAGGAGCCTGAGCTCGAGTCGAACTCCGTGTGGAGGGATTTGGAGGAGCCTAAGCTTCGGATTGGGGTTCCGGGTGTAGCGTGTTAGGGTTCAGGGTTGAGGGTTCAAGGGAACGGGTTGAGGGTTCAGGGTTTGGGGTTTAGCTTACCGGGCTATGTAATCGATGATGGGCTCAAGGAAGTTCTGGAGGGAAGTTTTTTTTAATGGGGTCTTCTGTAAACAGTAGCAGGGTCTCCATACTTTGTTTGGCGCAAGACAAGAAGAGCCCAGGAGAAGGTCCTGCGAAAGGCGCCAGAGTCTTCCAGCTCAGTTAGATCAGAGGAGCCAGATATTTTGACAAAACTATCACCCCACGAGCTGTCTCAGAGACTGCAAAGCTACCTCAAGACCCGGCCCCCGGCCCTGGACGCGGAGCTGCGGGTGTTGGATCAACTGCTCACGGAAAAGTTCCGGCGCCTGAGGAGGATATGACACAGATCCCTCCGGGTAGCAGGGGGGAGATGTCAGCACAAACGGTAGACATGTTCCTACTTACGGATCACATATCATGGCCCATTTTGTTGTGCAACTTGCATGCAGCATAACTGGAACGTCACCATGACCACCGTAACAGCTGCGAGGAGTACCGCCACCAGTAGCCATGCATGTAGGCATTGTGACTTGTTGTTGTGTCATAGGAACACACCTTCAGCTGGAGTATGGTAGCATCAAAAAAGCACTAGGTTGTAGTCTTGCCCATAGGCAGGCGGTAGCAACGGCCCAAAGGGGCTGCTTCTGCGCCTGCAGTCATAAAGCGCTGCCGTTCATTCTCAGCATTTTGCCAAGAAAAAGAGCTGCAATCCATGAGCTCCGACATCAGACATGTTGGTTTGTTCGCGTCTGAACTTGGCAAGCCTAGAGGTGGGAAGGATCCGTAGCAGACCTCAGCAACACTGAACGATCCTTAGACCGGCTTTGTCTGATCTGCACTCTCGCAGGACAGTGTAAAAGAATTACTACGAGGCACAATGTTGACAGATGCCCTCGAATCAGAAAACATTGGTGCACTTCGCCAAGATCTGACCAGAGCGAAAAGCAGCAGTAGTTGCGCAACGCTCTCAATCGCAATTTTTCGTTTAAAGCTTGCCGCTCTACCGTTGCTGCTGCTGCTGCTGCTGCTGCTGCTGCTGCTGCTTTGGTGATGTTGATGATCGCAACGATTTTCTTACAGAGTCTTGTTTCTGTTTCATGGTACCACCATCTCTCTGAGGATGCTGAGGCTATTGACAATAAAGTCAATACAGAAGATGCTGAAGTTGATTGCTGCTTCTGCTTCTTCTTCTCCTCCTGTGCTCACTGCTTCTGTCGTCGTTGCTGTTTTGCCATCCATCATGACTACAGGCCAATCCTGGGTGTTCAGATTCGGATGTCCTGAGGATTCGTCAGGAATTGGCCCAGCTGTTGCTGTTGACGTGCAATGAGGGAGCTTGGATTGCGACTTCGGTTGTAGGGATGGGATGGATCCTTTCTTTCGGCCCTGAATCGCATCAACCCTCAACCCGAACCTCCTGCATCCCAAAGCCCTGAACCCTGCGAGTCCCCGAACCCATCACCCCGAACCTAGCTCCTAGCCGCACACTGTGCCTCTTTTTTTGGTTGTTTTTTTTTGGTTGGGTTATCCGAAAATCCTGCCAGGTGCCATGCGAGGGCTGACAGCGCGCAGAAAAAAAGATGCACCGCGGTGGCTTTCTGTTTTGGTGCGGCGGTTTGTGCTTCGAAGCTCGGTTCCGCGCAGGATGCAGGATCCAAGCGTCTGTGCGCGGTCCACTGAGCCAGGCTCCAAGCAAAAGCGAACCACGGCCCCGTGCGACCTGACCCACCAGCAGGGTCACATTGACCGCAGAAGGCGGTCGCTAAAGCTTGAGCTTGACAGGTGAGCCTGGAGCCAAAATACCTTTTTGAGATGTTTGGGGTCAAGATGCCCAACGAAGCCAACACCAATTCGCCCAGGAGGAAACCCTATCCAAAGAAACCCAAAGCAAAACTAAATAATCAAACGAGCAAAGTATGCACGAAGCACGCGATGCACCACCGATTGCAAAAAGATCAAGAAGCATGGCTGCTGCCGATGTCCTGTGCGGCCATCCTGGCAAACTTCAACAAAACGCTTCTTCGCTCGCGTCTTATAAGACGGAAGCAAGCTCCCCTTCCGCAAAGCAGCCTTCTGCAGAGCCTTAGATTTCCAGCCACAGATGCTGCCGCAGCGGCCGCTCAGCAATCCACCTATGCAAAGCCAGATTTGCGCGAGCACATACAGGGCTGCAGGATGCTGCCGTCCCCGTCGTTCTCTGCATCGGCGGGCCGAATGCAATGAATGGGCGGGAGCGAGCTCCACAGCGGCGTTTTGAAGCCGCGTTTGCGCAAGATTGCGGTTGCTTGGCGGGCGGCCACAATCCTGGGCGGATCGCCACTGGCAGGTGTCGCTGCGAGGTCTTGTGCGGAGCAGTCGGCAACATCCGCCCGGAGGAAGAAACCCATCAAGCTCCGCGGGTTTCCGCATTGCAGGCCAAGCTAACCGCTGCGTCGCAGAGCACATTCGCAGGCCCGCCGCATCGGCTCTCGAGGCTCAACCTGCCGCCGGGGCATCAACCCTTCACACAACCCTGGCTTTGAGTTCTCGGCCGCAGGCAACCTTGCTGAAAGGGTTTGGCGGCGTTGCACGACGGCTTGCACGCCGCATCGCGCCGACCGCGTTTGCAGCGCCCGCCACGGCGCGACCACGCGGCCGCCGCTGCATGCATTGCAAACTTGCGCGGGCGGCGTGGCGGGCGAGGCAGGGCGCATAGGAACATCGCGTGAGCGAGTGGTCGCTCGCCCGCTCGCGCGGCAACTTAGTGAAGAATTCAAACGAGCATGTGCGCCGTTCCAGGATGCCCTCGGCACTGAGGCGGGCGCCGACGCCCTGGTGCGGGCGGCGCGAGCTTCCATGGAGAGAGGCTTAGATGACTGTTGAATGCCGAGACGGCGTTATAGGACCTATGACCACGTCATATCCCGGCAAAGCCTGCTGTCGGTGCTTGCCGAACGACCCGATCTCACAGGCGTCCTCCCGCATGCGACGCTCGTGCACGGCTCCCAGTGCTTATGTGTGTTGTATGACGCGCGCAGCGTGTCGACTCGTGTTGGGCCAGCACCGAGCGTTGGTGGAGGTGGTATGGGCCCACGCAATCTGTACAATCCGCAACACTTGCAGCCCGGATGACCCGAAATGGCGTACGCAGGCTGGGCCGCCACTGCCCACATTGCTGTCCATCGGCATTTGTCGAGGTCGAATCGTCAGTGATCAGGATTGTCCGACTGGTAAGGACATCAAGTCTCCACAGCGGCCCCGATTTCGACTACAATGTCCACCATGCGGGCACAAAAAAAAGACCCAACCAAACGGCACTGAAAACTTTTCCAACAGCACTATGCATCATTGCTCACTTGACGACTCAACGAATATTTGACCAGCTCATCAGCAGGACCCATCCGAACTGTTTTGCTCGCTTTTCCAACCGCTTTTCTTCATGTGTCACGCAGGCAAACGGAGGCAACTCGCTTGGAGGGCCCTTCGGCCCCAGCGAGCGAGACCCAGCTGCTATGCCGTAGGCACACGCACACTAGGGGGAGTATGTTCGAAGAAGCGGAAAAGTATTGGGAGAGAGGGGGCCATGCCATAATGCACGGGCCACACTCCAACGAACCCAAGCCATCCGAGCTAAGAAGCGCTAAAGCATGCCACAACTTTTCGTGCCATCCAGGTGGGTGTGTCGGCCTTTCGCCGTCACAGACCATGGCTGTATGCCTTCGACAACTTTGGGGGCAGGTCAACAGTGCGCTTCGCGGGCTGCCCGCCGGGATTGGCTCCATCCACAAGCAAGCCAAAGCTTCAAAAACGGAGCATTGCTGGGCTGGCATGTGGGAGTTGTTCAGTCGGAGGGACTGTGCCGCCTGCAGCCTCTCGCTCACTGGGCAGCTTGCCGGCATTGGTGTAATTTCGTTGATGGTCGTATCTCCAACACTCTCGCGCGACGCCCGCTGCATGCCCACAACATCCCACATCCCAGGTACGGTCAGCAGTTCGGCACACCGCCTGCTAATGCTTGCTGGCGGAAACGCTGCACATGTGCGTTGCGTCGCGGGCCAACCACGCTATCCGCACCATACCCCGTCGCAGTTAGTGGCCTATGCGCGCGCACATAGCGAGGCCATCTGGCAGACCTTGCAAGAGTGCTCGGGGATGTTTCCGAAAGCACTCCAGGCCGGGACATTCGCAACCCTCCCCACCTCTCAAAGAGTATTGGGCTGCGTGACGGATGCCTTACCCAGCGAATTCCGCAGTGGGCCATATAGTGGGCCCAGCACTACTTGCGAGAGCAAGACGGAGCAGCTCCCGCGTACTTTCGCGGTTACCTGGCTGGTATTTCCACACAGCGCGGGTTCACTACCAACACTATCGTGATTCTGTGCTATTGCCGGCCTGGTGCTTCCAGGCTATGCTACGTTCGCAAGCTTGCCCGCATGCGGGGGAGGGATGGCTGTCGGTTACACCGTGTGAGCCAGCACCAGCTTGACCCCTCAATCCATGTTGTTGGCACTGCAGGCTGCGGTGGCTTTTGTCTCTTTAAGCCCGCAGCATTGCGGCCCCAACCCAGGGCGCGGCGGGACACTCGACGAGCCCGGGCACCATGCTCTTGCCTGCCCCAAACGGGGACTGCTGGCAAGGGGCCAAAACTGTGTCCGATCGGACGAGCGCCGACAATTGGACACCCCCAGTAGAGCCTCATGACCCCCTTTATGAAACGGTCTTTGGGAAGGTCACCCTCCTCCATTTCAAAAGGATTCGCTGGTTGGGCAAATGTTACCCGGTACCCCCATGTTTTCGACGGTTCTGGTGGTTCGGAAAACTTCAACCCCCCCCCATTTTCGACGGACCTGCTGGTTCTGCCTGATCCGTCCCGCGCTATTTTCAGGAGCTGTCCAGTGTGTAGATGATACAGCTGCTGCTTTGCATGCATACAGTTGTCGCAACGCGGGACTAGAGTCCAAGACGGTGAATATACTCGAGAATTGAATAAAATCGAGTCAGTGCAAGCGAAACGTTCCCGGCGTACTGATAGGAGACCGCGTGAGCCGGGCCGTTTGTCCGCGACCCACGGTAATTTTTGGGCATTCCTCTCTTATCGCTCGAAGCCCTGTGGCCCGTAGAGAAATGGCACCGCCAGTGTAGCCACCTGTAACAAATCTGTTGTGCCCGAACTCCCTTCCGACTATGGCGGGGACGAGAGAGGAATGCCTAGAAACGACCGTGGGTCACGGTCAGAACAGTGAAACAAGCTGTACGAAATTACAATGTGTGGTGTCACACATCGAGCAACTATGTACGAAACTCAATCGCATCACAAC